AGCTTCAACAAGCCGGAAGAACACAACCAGCGAGGAGGTGAGAAAAATGAACGCAGTTTGGTTAAAGACGATGATGGCCCACAGAAAAGTCAGGAGTTTTGCTACCGTTAACCACTGCATGACTCATTTTACCTTATTTTACCGTACTAAACTAGTAAAAGCCACCTAAGTTAGCTACAGTAGCTCAGCCAGGCTAACTATATGAATTAGCACATTGAGTAAATATTATCTATGATGTCTGTATCAGTAACCAGATTGAGCCTATTTGGCTTCAGATAGATACAGAAAAATGCTTCTTACAGACCCTAAAATGTCGCTGTGATGTTGATGATTTTAATTGTATAAATGAATCAGTTAACATTATTAACATTACATGGTTTATGGGGCTGTGGGAGGTTGTAATACCAGTATAATACAACTAGAAAACAACTATGTTCATTTCAGTACAAAGCTTATACTAATTACGGGGGACATATTGTGCTTTTTACTCCACTGCATTAATTTGACATCCATTATTACTAGTAACCTTCAAAATTAAGATTTTACACCCAAAACAAAGCTATTATTATCTTTTAAAATATCATGCACATCTCCAAGTTAAACTACTCTAGTCTGCATAAAAAATTTAACATCAGCTCCACTTGACCAGCAACAATAAAACGCCACATGCTCATTAATGCAACAGTGATAATAACCCAGTAATATATAACTAGATACCGCTCGCAGGGGCATTTGCCTATAAATTACAGCAGCACAGCTTGATGATAATATTAAAGTAGTTTTACTAATGTGACATTTTAAATGCTTGTGCTTGTAATCAATTATCATTTCAATGTGGTATTGCTGCTTTTTCTTATCTTAAGTGAAGGATCCAATACTTTCTTCCCTAATGAATGTGGGCATAAGTGCCAGTAGGTTTTTAACTATTGTTTAATATGTCAATTCAGTCTAACGAAACAAATGTCAAATGTCTGTTATACCTATATTCTTATCTGCTTTACTGGGTTAATAAAGAATCTCAAAAAAACAAACCATAATACTACTTTCTCCTCCCATAAAAATGGCAGACTCACTGTTTTTTTTCCTGTAAAATCCATATCAGATAGATGTCAACAAGGCCGAGGGAACAGGTTAAGTAAAGATTGCTTCATGTTTCACAATCAGTGGCATTGCCCATAAAGGCACCCGGCCGAGGGAATCAAGGATGACGCAGCTCGATGCAAAGCAACAGGTTACAGCTGTCCTGCAGGAAAAGGGCTCATTTAGGAATGCATAACATAATGTTCCTTGACATGGGACAAAACAAGATTCAACTTGTTTAACAAAAATCCACCAGTGCTAAGGAGGACAGAGAGCAGACATATAGACATGGAACAGGTGTTGTTTATTTTTGTGGATTACATGAGCCACCATTGATTAGTCAGCATTTAGCAGCCTTCAACACCAAAATCTTGCAGGTGCTCTGTGCAGCACTGTACCACATGACTTGGATTATATATGGCAACAACTGCAGTTCACCTTACTAAAGCAGTGTGCTCTGCCATAAGCTTGTTATTGCTTGGAGCATTTGTGAGATGAAACGGAAAAAAACTGAGCCAACTCAGCATTAGGAAGCACTGGAGACAACATTAGTCTGCGTCTCTGGGAACACACTGGACTCTTTCGAGATTCGGTGCTCTGATATATTACAGCTAAACCAATATGAAAGAAGGAAGAGTCTTTGAAAGTTTTCCCTTACTAATAACTGCTTGGGAAATAGCGATTCATCTCTGATGCTTGTGTTTCTGGTGCAACTATATTTAGTCCAGGAAGTAACTCAAATATTTAAGTGCATCCAGAATAGTCCTTAAGTTCCTCTAAAACATAGTTTATACTTTCCTCACACAATGAACTACTCAGAAAAGATGTGAAATGTATTTTTAAAAAGGTCACAGAACCAGCAGATGCATGTTTATTTGACTTCTCCGTTTTTCTTCAGAGAATGGGCTTCATGGAAACGAGATAAACATCACTACAGCTGAATCACGGCCCTGTGATGTTATTATGCTGCTTAAAGGTCCAGTGTGGAGAATTTAGTGGGACAGCCCGTCTGTGATGAGTCGAACATCGGAGAAATGCTGATTTGTAACATGACACTTGCTGATAATTCAGCTCCTAGTTAAAACCTCCAGAACAATAAATACTAAAGGAATCTTAACCAGGAGTTCAAGCTTTGCACATGGGAGAAGTGTCAGCTGGCTGCAATCTGCAGTCCTCACCACTAGATGCCACCAAGTCCTACTCACTGCTCCTTTAAAGCTGTACAAAGCTTTATCGTATGTTTTAAAGGTTTATGACCAGATGTTACAGGTATAGTTTAAAAGACTACTGTGTCATTACAGATAACACTTAACGGGAGTGTTGAGTTCATGTAGCTTGTTGCCATGACAGTAGAGAGCTGCATGTTCTGACTCAGTCCCAGTTAACTGCAGGGTTTTTGAAGTGCGTTTGGTGATTGAGGACATGGAGACCTCTTTCTATCATTGTGCCAGTCAGCAGGTTTTATTGCACACAGTAACATCTGGGTTTCAGCTGAGTCAGTCGATAATGCTGTTGTTCTGTTACAGGGGATGGAGATAGACTGCCAGCCTGAGGAAGCCATCGTTTCTTCATTTGATGAGGACTGTGTTGTGCTCGGTGACGTCAAGGACATGAGATTGGAGGCAGAAGCAGTGGTCAATGACGTACTATTCGCCGTTGCCGAAATGCACGTGTCACAAAGTCTCAGCAGCGCGTCGGATGTGGCCTACATCAACGTGGAAACAAGAGAGGGGAACCGGTACTGTCTGGAGCTCACAGAGGCAGGACTGAGGGTAAGATGCACTGAAAGTGAGACATTCATTTCTTGTTTGATTAGTCATTGTATGCATGTTTTACGGTTATCAACTCTACCAAACAGGTGGTGGGCTATGCCTTCGATCAAGTGGATGAGGATTTGAGCACCCAGTATCATGAGACTGTTTACTCGCTTCTGGACACGCTGAGTCCAGGTTACAGAGAAGCCTTCGGGAATGCTTTGCTCCAGCGGCTGGAGAGGCTGAAGCAAAACGGACAATAAAAAGGACCAAGATGCTGCTTAAAGCGGAAGAGAGTTTGATGATGTGGGTGTATTTGAATATGAGCCAATAATAACCAAGTCTGGTCAAATATTATAGCCTACTATGTGACGTCCACCTGCCTAGCTACCACTACAATAAGGGGTACCCTGCCCTATCAACTCTGCTTTGTTCTGACATTCATATCATTGAATGACTTCATGTTAGTTACTTAACTTTAGTGACTGCTGCGGATTGGCTAAATGGGGTCTGTTGCAACATTGTGGTGTTGACTTTTCTGTATAAAGCTTCCACAGAATACAAATTTGTAAGTGCACACAGCGTTTGAGACTTCTGCACCTTTTTGTACTGATCAAAATGATTTGAGAAAGAAGCAGCAACTTATTGATCCAGCTTCCCCTTCTGCCCTGCTTGCACTAAAGCTGTGACCTGATATCTGCTCAGATATACCCAATACGTTCTTATTCAGCAGGTGTCTCAGTGAAAGAGCCAAAGCTATAGTCTTTAAACTCATATATACACTGCCTTAATGATGGACTTTTGGTTAGAAAAGTACAAAAATAACTCCTGGACTTGTTAATTTTTTATATTGACAGAGACAAATGGTATTTTGTGGGGCTGACACTTCACATGGATAAATGGGTCAGAAACTATTGAAAACCATGAATAGTCTCAATAGCTGGCACTGTATACAATACCAATTTAAATTGTGTTTGGATATTTTTTTCCCCTCCATACTGCATTGCAACTCAAGCTTGCATTTTGAGCTTTGCTGTGAAAGTAAAGACGCTATCCTTGTGGAGGTTTATATACACAAATATATATATATTGTTGTGGTCTTCAAACCTTTGGTTCGTGTTTATATTCAATGAAGACTTCTAGGGCTGCTTTATGTGACCTGATAATGATCCTACTTCAGTATTATGAAATCTATTTTAAGAAATCGTGTTCCTTTGCATTCATACTGTCATTACTTGCTGCTGGCCTTTGCTCAGACCAATAAATTCTCAGAATTACATTTGTCTTCATTTTTTACCCACGAACAATCTACGAGGCAAACTTAAATTGAAAAAAAACAAAGGAGAAGTGGTTTCCTCACCACTGCTTAGCGAGTCATTGTAGTGTCAAGTGCTGACCTTGGGTACATCTATTCAAATTTGCCTACGATATGCAGAGTGTGTCAACAACTGTGTGACACATAGATAGGGTAAGTTAAAAATGGTCATTTGGCAAATCAGTCCCAAGCCTTTTCCCTTAAGTGACCCTTTTTCAATCAATGAATAAACTGATGACCTATAAGTGACATTTCATATTTTAGCTTTAATGCATAACAGTACAGAACATCTGAAAATGTACAGTTAACCCAAACAGGAGGAAGCTTGTGTATAATGAGTGAACTTTTTTGAGCAGATTGTTTCCTGTGAACATTGCGTTGGACATATGGGAATTTTTTTTAGGAATATTTTATTCAATTCTCTGTGTTTTTGTTTTTAACAATCATTTATAATTAATAGGCTTCTTCTCTGACAACTTAAGGGTTTTCTTCTCCCTGATGCTTACAATAGAACTCTTTGGTTGTCTCTCAACTATATACTTTTTAATGCAGGATGAGGCTGAAGGCTCTGTGACTACAGCTTGTGTTGAGTTCTTCACTGTGCCCTTATCCTGGGAGATTTTTTAAGTTTACATCTTGAACAATAATCTAAACTTTGAAACAATATTTTGTTTTCTTTATAGAAATTAACAAAATCCTGAGATATATGCCTACTGTATTAATATTTTCGTGAGTCCCTACAAAACTAAAAGGCCTCATGACCCCCTGTGAAGCTTTGGAAGCGGCGTTTTAACACAAAAAAAAAAAAACCTAATCAAAAGTTTGTGTATATCAGATTCACATGATGCAACTTTGGTACAGATTACTTTTCTTTATTAGAATTTTAATAATCCTTTACAATATCTAATTTCATATGTCTAGTAGTACATTGTCAGTAAGAAATATTACAAAAAGTTTTAGTGAAGTAGTAGCACAGTATATACCTTTTCTGACTACATAGCAGCCAGTGAGACAAGACAATTGCACTGTAGTGGAATGAGAGTCAGGGTCATTCACACATTAACCACATTGTTTCACATCCGCATCTCTTAAAACTGACTGTTAGAAGGTCACAGCAAGGATCAGCCGTTTATTTCTGCAGGATTCAAGATGTGTGAGTGCGCCAACGTCTTGCAAACTAGTGAAAGACACATCTTAAAAATCAATTTGATGAATGAATAAAATGAGATCTTAACTAGAATCATTTACATTCTTCAGATTTTTACTCAAAGCTGAATCCCTTTTAAAAAAAAACAAACACTTGTGCGAACATACTGCTGCGAGATTAGCTCACAATCTGAACAGGGAACTTGATGCAGAACAGATCTTGTTTGTGGTCGTCTCTCAGTTCCCACTCCACAACCAGCTTTATCTAGAAGTGCAGAAGAGTCAGAATTGAAGAAGGTGAGCGTTTGTGTACACAAATGAAATATTGAGGAAGTGAAAGATGCAAAAAGTGATGTGGTCACATTGAAAGGAAACTGCTTTTAGGAAGATTTTTGCTAATGTACCACGCTTTACTTACTGCAGGATACTCAGTCTTCACAGGAAGCGCAGTCATGTAGTTATACTTCTGCTGCTTCTGGATGGGACACTGGATTCCAGACTTGCAGCCATCTTCTATGGGAATGGGGAACGGGATGGGTACTCCACCAATAATACCGTGAACCACTGCTGTGCTCGTCTGGCTCTCCACAGCTACAACAGATAAAACATACAGTGCGTGAGATCAAAAGTTAAAATACAAGCATTTATGTTCTGATTAGCATTTCTAAAAACAATAAAACCCCCTTACCACTGTTGAATGTCACATTGACACTGTAGGACTGTCCTTTGTGTAGCTGGCATGGCTGACTGGGACATGGGTTAATATCCACTAAGGCCACTTTGCCAGAAGAGGAGCCTGCAGAGAAAAAAGATGGGACATTCAAAAAAGGTAAATGTTAAAGCTGCTGCCATATCACTTGTTTAAATATCTTAAATTTTCATTAGAAGAGGCCACGTCACAGACAACTTGACTTGCTTTACATACATCATAAAAAGGACATGATGTACAACCTCCAGGGTCATCACTGTATTACTCCCTCCAGTGGAAAGAAGGTTAAACTAACAATGCCTAATGTTTGACTCTTTTGTTTCAAGACTAGTCTTAGTTAGTTAGTTATTTTCATAAAAACATTAACATAAGGAAAAAGTCAAAATCAACTGAACTGGCCAAGTACTTAAAGCATACAAGGAAACTGGCTCTCAACACTCACACTGTGCCAATAAAATAAATGATACAGAGAGTTACAAACTAAGAACTAATAAAAGACATATTTTTGTCTTAATACAGTGCAAAATGAATAATATCATTGCTGGGCAAGCATGTAATCTAAAGTAATGTGACTGAGATTATCAATTTTGGGATTAGTGAGTGGATTACCTCACTACTCACATTTTAAAAGGAAAAGCTTCAATTTTGACCTCTTTTTTAAAAAAAAAAAAAAAAACTCAAGTCGCAAATTTATATTAGTGCTGTACAAAAATCACTGGAAAGTCCTAATTGAACACCGAGAAGCCTAAAATATGAGCACATGTGTGTGTATATGATGAATATATTGTAGTCAGGACAGGTGATGTTATCTGTTAAGGGATGGATCAATAGTCTACTAACAAGATTACAAACAATTTTGATACTCAAACGTTTTAAGTAACACTTAGGCAGCTGTTAAATTTCTGTTTAATATATTTAGAAATTACATACTATTGGCTTTGAGACTGTAGACCGTTCTCACAGCACACTGACTTGTCATAGTAGGGAAAGCTGAGGTGTTGCAACAATGGCTCTAGTCACTCCCTTTTGGGATCAGTTAAACGTGTGTACTACTCTTTAAACCGTAGCCTACTCACAGTTAACGACTGGCCGTTTCACATATTTAAAATACAACATAAGGAGTTAACGTTAACGTCAAATCTGCATATTGAGACGTTTCGAGTGATACTTACCGCAGTCAAGGAATTTCACCGGGTTGGCGCAGGTGAATCCCATTAGGCACAACAACACGATGAACCCAGTCCGTACATCCATGTTTCTTTCCTTGTTCGTGACCCTAAAACAGAGAAATATCCATTACGCAACAGAAAAGTTTACTTGAGCGTTAGCCGAGTCTGACAGTCAGCAGAAAGTGCTAAATCATATGACTTTTTGTTTCCCCCAAGTGTCCCGAGCGTCGCAGTGATAATAAAGTTGAACAAAACGACAAAAAAAACACTCTTTGACGACAAGGCAATGTGATAAACAGTATACAAACAAACTCAGTCTTCTTATTAGTAGATTAACAATACACGTAGATATAATACATTGTCAATGGACAAGCCATACCTTTGAAGCGTGTCCGGAGTGAGCGCCGTAGCCGCCTAGCACCTTTTATTTCCCTGTATCACGAGATCCAAATAACGCCTATTTATTAGCATACAGAGAACATTTCGCCCTCAATTTAGCCTGTCAGGAAATCCCCTCACTATCAAGACCCCGCCCGTGCGTTATAAATGGCAGATTGAAATCAAAACCAGCATAATAACCCAATATTCTGTAATATAAACCCCAATATTAACATTTGGCTGGTGTATCTTGTTGAGGATGGCATATATTTTAAGAAGAGCTGTGCCTGAGAGGCAAAACCAAGGTATAAAAGACCCCATATCTAGGGAAATAAATACCTTATGATTGGCAGGTACACTGACGAATCAAATCATCGTATCACCAATGTGGGCGTATCTATTTGACAGACCACCATTTCAGCCAATTAAAATGCGGTCTGCGTCTCGTCATCCGTTGGGGGGTGGAACTTACCAAGTTTGTTATGGAAGATGTCATTCGTGAGAGGAGCTATGATATCTGCGTCAAAGGCAAAAGTATTGAGCCTTGCTAGGTAATGTTACATTTTATATTGTAGATATAATTACGGATAATAACGTGTAAACAACCTGTTTGAGTTGAGACAGGAGCTTTGTGTTGAATATTTTCCAGGTAGTTAGCAAGCTAGCCGCTAACGCTACCGTTAGGTAACTAGCTAGCGCCAGGGTTTGCAATATTACATGTACCTCTGCTGCCTGATCTTAACGTAACATCTATGTTTTTCAGGGCATCTGCTCTTCTGACTAACCCCAATGTGACCCAACAGTTACACCGACTTCCCCCAAACCCCCATCCAGCCCTTTACACAGCGGGGCTTCAGCGCTTTAGCAGTGCCTCCTCCCAGGAGAAGCTAGCTGTGTCAGACCAACCCGAAGATAAAGTGAACCTCACTGAGTCATGTGTGAAGGTCAGCAGATACTTAATGATTCATACTATGACTAGGCATCACACACTTCTCATGTAGGAAAAAGCTAATGAAAAGATGCGTGTGCAGTTTCGATGCATGCATGGAAAGCCTGGGATATGGAGATAGATTTGTCTCAGTATTATTTGAGTGAACAGGTCGACAACATGTGTGTAAATGTGTAATTTGTAGATATAAAACACCTCCACAAATACAGAAAAAAAAGGAAACCAAAAAAGTATTTTGCAAATATAAAACAGATCTGTAAATACACAAATTAATACCACAAAAATGTCTGTGAATACATTTAATTCATGTACAAATAAATGAAAAGCATTTGTGAATATTTTCCTAACATTTACAGCTTTTGAACATTTTGTGAATTCAGTTTTTATTTGTGAATCTTAGTGTTATGCTTATGGATTTATATTTTATGCAGTCAGTCTTTTTTAATTTTTAAAATGTGTGTATTTGCAGATCTGTTTTATTTTTGCACAATATTTTTGTGAGCTTACAAATCCCTTTTGTATTTGTTTAAGTTGTTTTATATTTATAGATCACACATTTACATACATTTTGAAACAAATCTATTGCCATACAGGGAGGACCAAAACTTTACATCAGTGGTTCGCAACTGGTCCAGCCACAGGGTCCAGATTCCCCCTTGGTCAATAGTTAAAGGTCCACACAGTTTAACGTATTTAACCCTTATACTACATCATACAAGTATGACCATGTCATCAAGCTAATTTGCTGTTTCTGTCAAGTAGCTCTCCATTAGTCTGTCACTCTACAACAGGAAATGGCACTTCAAAATGAAGGCTCTGTGCTGGAAATTCACTGTACTTCAAAATAAAGTGTGTTGTTTACAAGCATGACACGTTCAGAGTAACTTGCGGTCCATTCATAATGGACCTGCAATCCACTTTTGGACCATGACCCACCAATTGGGAACCACTGCTTCACATGATGCCACATCAGTGTCAGAGTTAGTCAAGATATTTTGTTGACGGTGTTATCATCTGTGTAAAACGTAAAGCATTTCATTAACCCCACCTCTGTGCCAGTGTTGACAGTGAAGCATCTACAGAATGGGACTGCATTATGTCAGATCATAGTCTTACTGTACAGGGATTAGTGGGCATATATGTGTAAGTTTTACTAGGCCTACATCTGAGGTATTTGACTGTAAGACACAGAAACTGTAATTGGCTTCTGACTCACCGAAGTGTGAATTGTTACTTTCCGAATTGTTGACATCTAAAACCCAATTATAGGCAGTCAAGCAGAACCATTTAATGTTAAAAAACATTGCCATGCAGCCACTGTCGAAAATGTATTGAGTTGTTATGCTGTGCTTTGTGCCTCTTTCTTCACGCTCCTATCTCCCCTTTAATCCAGAGACTAGGGGAAATCATGGAAAAGGGCGAGTATCTCCGAATACATGTGGAGGGCGGAGGCTGCTCTGGGTTCCAGTACAAGTTTTCTGTTGATAGTAACAGGAATGAAGATGACAGGTAAACTGCCACTAATCAGTCTTTCACATTGTTGATTTACACTGGCCTCATTGTTTCCTTATTGTCTTTTAATCCAATCAACTCTGTCCCTTCCTGCATCCATCCTTTAGAGTGTTTGAGCAGGGAGGAGTGGGCATTATTGTGGATCAGGACAGCCTGGAGTTTGTGAAAGGAGCCACAGTGGACTTCAGCCAGGAGCTGATCCGCGCCACCTTCCTTGTGCTCAAGAACCCTCAAGCTGATCACGGCTGCTCCTGTGGCAGCTCCTTCTCTGTCAAATTATGACCCTGCTTCCTTGAGTCAATGCTACTTAATACCCTCACCAGTTTATTAGGCACACATGTGCAATATACAATCAAATATTATAAACACTTCTCGTTATAATACATTATAGCTACTGGCTTTGTAGGTGTGAAAGTACTTGAACTGAATGAAAGGCAGAGGTATGATTGATCATCATTCTGTTTAGCATATAGTGACACTCAGAGCTCACTGACAGCTGAGTTCACAATAGTCACCATGTATTCAAACTAAACAAATGCACAGATGAGGTGTTTGAGTATGCAGTGCTGAGATTTGTCTTTGTGTGTAAAATATGTAAATAGGCCATATCTATGATTGCAAAGAGCGAAGATATATTTGTTTCATCTAAAATAAAGTGAGTGAATTTCAGATGTTTATAGCTTCAGTCATTTTGATTTATTATACGCAAATGAATGTGTATTATGATGCACTTCCTTATGTTAGAATGGTCAAAGGGCAGCCAGGTTATTTATAACTGATTAAAGGTTAGTTTGAGCACTCATTCTTTCCTAAGAACTGTTACTTCAACAGCATTATTAATAAGTGTGGCTCAGTGGTTCTCCACCAGGGGTCCAGAGAGCACAAGGGGTCCCAAGAAAAAAGAGGAATAGTATATTTTCACACTTAAATTCGCTATAGAAGTGAGCCCAATGTGCGTAAGAGTCATAAGAGTGAATATTCTGAATAAAGGTTTCACTTCCCTTCATAGACTGTAAAAATAATGGACATAGCTACCATGATGTCACCCACTGGTTTGTGGACTCCTATTTTGAAGCCTCCAGTTTGGCATTTTGCCTGTCACCATCTTGTTTTTTGGAGCCAGAAATGGCCATATTTGGAGGGGAGGCTGGTGCTGTGGAGGAGCGAGGGGTGGATCTGACTGAGAAGCAGAGGATGCTATCTGCAGACAGCCTGTCACTCAGTGTGCCCCCAGCTTAATTATGCCTAACTGCAAGGCTTAATAAAATGTAAACAGGTGAGTTAAATAAAAATCCACTGTCTGTACAGTTGTTCAGAAGGGGGAAATTAGCTATAGAGACCAAAACTGGAGTTTTCGGCTTTATTTTTCAGCCCAGGAGGTTGCCGCTTGAATGGCAATTGTAAAATACCATGTCATATGTGTAACTTTGGACAATCAGCTTTTTCTATAAAGGAGGCTGTCAACTCTGGAACACATGACCAATTGAAATCAATTGATCATAGATTTAAAATCCTTCACAACAAACGGTCAAATGCTGGCTAAAAGCAAAGCAGAACTGTACCTGCTCTGAGCTGAATGGGCTAAAACCTTTAAGGGGTATCAGTGTATTAGTGTATTGTGGTATGTGTACTTTAGTATATGTACTGTAGTATGTGTATAGTGGTATGTCTACTGTAGTAGATGTATTGTGGGATATGTTGTAATGTTTGTATTGTGGTATATGTGCTGTGGTATGTGGACTGTAGTGTGTGGACAGTGGTTTATGTATTGTATTGTGCCCTCCATGTTGATAGTGTATAGTGGTTGTATGATGTTTTAAACTCTATATTCTTAATAGCATTTTAGGTCTATGTGTTCATGTCCAACTAGGGACAAGAGTTAAAAATTAGCAATAGCTGTAAACTCTGTGCAACAAATCAGCCCCATACTCTGTATTGAAACTAAGTTAAATTGCATCGTCACTATAAAAAACAAAACAAAACAAAACAAAAAACAACCAGCAACATACCATGTCTAATAGGGCTGCAACAAGTAGTCGACTTATCGATGACTAATCAACTATTAAAATAATCGGTGACTATTTTAGTAGTCGACTAATCGGTTTGAGTCATTTCTCATAGAAAAGTACTATAAAAGCACCCCAACATACTCTTACTGCAGCTTCTTACGTTCAGATATTGGCAGCTTTACACACTCTCCCATGATGGTGAACTAAAACCCTTTGAAGTGAGTACAAAACAAGACATTAGATGACATAATTTTGGGGTTTGGGAGAGACAGACCGACATTTTTTAACAATTTGACACATTTTTCGATAAAATGATTAGTCAACTAATTGAAGAAATAATCGACAGATTCGTCGACAATGAAAATAATCGTTAGTTGCAGCCCTAATGTGTAATTTCCCAAATCCCAAACTGACGTCTTCAAAGGGTATGTTTTATCTAACACTCCAAAAATCCAAAGCAGTTCAGTTTTGTTATCATGCATAACAAAGAAAACCGTCAATTCCTAACATTTAAGAAGCATTAAACCAGCAAATGTTTCACTGTTTTGCTTGAAAAAAAAAAAAAAAATACTAAAACGATTCCTCAACTATCAAAGAAGTTGCCATTTGATTTTCTGTCAATAGGCTAATCATAT